AAAAAAAAAAAAAAAATTTATAGTCTTGACCTTGGTTAGTTACTTAATATTTTTATGATGCCACCCTATAAAGGTTCAAGTAAAGAATTTTTACTTGATGCGAAAGTAACATAAAATTTAAAAATTTTCCTAAGCTTTTCAGTTTAGAGACAGTATTTTTAATATTTAAAATAAATGAATGAAAGAACATGGACCAGAGATGACAGACTTTCTCTAGATAAAGGAATCATAGATTTTTGAGCTATAAGGGACAACAGAAATCATTAAGCACCGGGTGTGGTGGTGCACACCCAGCATTTGGGAAGCTGAGGAGTAAGACTGCCATGAGTTGAGGATAGCATACATACTGAGCTCAAGGCCAGCTTGAACTGCATAGCAAGACCCTCTCAAACACAACAAAATAAACAAAGGAATCAAAAATCAAAACTGCTCTTATCCTATATGTTTGACTGGCATTATAAAGAAGCTTTTTTTCCCAAATATTAATATTTTACATCATAAATTCTTAACTTGTGACTCACCCTGCTGAGTTGATCCAGTAACCTTTGGTTCTGTTCTGATAGTTCCTGGACAGCCCGTGTTTTTTCTCTATCTGCCTCCCGAAGATGAACCTGCTGCCTCTCTAATTCATCTTGTAGCTGTTTCACATCACTCTCCAGCTCGGACACTCGTCCTTCCCACTCCCCTTCTCTGTTCTCAAATCGTCTTCTCAGTTCATGTTTCTCTTGTTCCAAGTGCTGGGTGAAAAGTGAAAAGGATTTAAAAACTGTTAAAAATTCCAGTCTTTTTATTCTCTCTTAACTTTTTTCACGCTGAGCACAACAAAACACCCTGCCACATAGGACAAATTGTCCCAATTCAGCTACAAAAATCTTTTCTCCTTCCAGAGCAAGAAAGGAACTGGTTTCACAGAGAAAACATCATTCTTATTGGAAATATTTAATGTCATCTTTAGTCTCCTGGGCATAAGGCTTAGATTTATGAACTCACTTGAAATTTAGCGAGCCATGTAATCTATTGGTGAGCTACACATTTAAACAACTACAGCCAAAATGCTCATTACTTTTTTAGGGAGGCTTCTTTTGAAACCATTTATTATATGTGAATATCATACTCTTACAATCACAGAATTTTCAAAGATGGAAAGAATTCCAGAAATCCTCTAACCATCTTGCCTTACAAATGAGCCAACACAAGTAGAGTTACTTGTTCAATGTCTATACTATTAAATGGCAGAACTGGGATTTGCATATAAGTCACTCTGTTCAGTGCTCTAAATTACAGCTTAACAAAAAGTTGTTGCTATATATAGCACTGTATTTCAAAATCATTAAGGCAAGTTCAGGTTCAGGTCTACTTTAAATCAAAGCCTTATTAAGCCTTCCATATTTATGTCTGGACCATTTTTTAAAACATTTTTTATTTTATTGGTATATTTTAGATATATATATATATATATAATATACGTACATTAACTG